ATCCCACTTCCCTAATTCTAGAGTGGGCCCCTAACTGAAACCCATTTATCTAAATTTCTAATATTGGGTTCCCTGGGAAGTAAACTCTGAGGCAGAGCTTAGCATGCAGGTTATTTCTTAAGGGGTTACTTTGAGCTGTACACCTGTGGTAGGGAAGAGAAGGAATAGAATTGGGAAGGAGAAAAAGTGAGCTTCAATACAGGCCCAACACAGCCTCAGGTGACTCAGTGGGGAGCTCTGGAGTTAGAATGTTCCTTCAGAGTTGTCCCACAATGGGCTAAGATGGCCAAGCCTTTATATTTCTGCGTTGTCCAGTCATTGGATGGGACACCATGGAAAGGAGCATGAGCTTGGGCAAGGCAGCTGTCTGCAGTTGAGGAACTCCCCAAGCAGCTGACAGCTGCTGGCTGTCCACTCACAGCACTCCCAGGAGCTGGAGCAACAAGTCCTTTCTTCATTCAGTCTTCGGCAAATTTCATTCCACGTTGTTCTCTCCGTGTTGACTTACTCTCTGATTATTTCATGGCAGCTATTTTGCCCTATTCCAGTACATCTAGGTTATGAGCTCCTTGAGGGAATGAATGGAGACCTGCCTTTTCCCAGTGATGTTCAGCACGGGTGAAGTACAGATATATGTATAGTCAGAGCTCAAAAGGTGCTCGGTAATCGGTTATCTAGGGCTTCAGATTGATGCAGAGAGTGCTCAGTGTACTGTGTGCATTACCATTACTGTAGCAGAAGAAATGCTTTAGGGAGACCTTCACCTCATTGCCTTTCTAAAGGAGAAGAAAACTAACATCCTTGTTATTAATAGCTGCCCAGAGCTTGCAGTGCTGGGCAGGGAGTGGGAGTAGGGCCTGGAAACGGTGCCTCTCTGATCCGAGCTGCATCTGAGATCCTCTTCCCCACCTGGCCTTTCCCCTCCATGAAGCAGAGCGGGGATCCTTCTTGTTCTCACAGGGTGCTATGTGCATTTAACTAAAGTGTTGTCCAAATGTCAAGTATAATTACGGTTAGCAATTACTTTTGCCTGGAGAGGCAGCATTCCAGCCATTGTCAAGGGAGGGAAATGAGTGATAATGTGTTCTCTTAGAGACTAGGGGAGCAGGAGCTGCTTTCCTGCACTCAGAGGGTCAGGAATCTGGATGCAGCTTTCACACACACACACAGGACACACCTAGGCAGGAATCCCTCTCAGGGCCATATTTTTCTTTATAGATTCATTTCCACTTTGGGGAGAGAGAAAGGCATTTCTAAAGTGCAGTGCCAGGAGCCACCACCAAGGAGGCTTCTTAGAGTGTGGGTGAGCTCTGAGAGCCACTCATGAAGACCCCCTCTTCCCCTGGGCCCCAGAGATGCTGTGGGCGAAATTCACTTGGAGGTTTTCTTGCCACCCCCACAGCGTTACCACAGCATCTGAAATTTAACAATACTCTCTGTAATCATAATAATACATTAAAAATAAAGTACTTTGGGGCTCCCTAAATGGAAATTTCTATGTGGTTTTTATATTTAGAATTCTGTCTCTCCCTCTGGGTAAATTTTATAAATAACCATTGGGAATACTGAACAGAATCCAATTTCCATATTGATTCCTTTGTCTTTTCACATAGGAAATATCAAGCAATTTTTTTGCCATGTGACCTTTTCCCATGAAAGTTTATAGAGTTAGATAATGTAAACTGGCCGGTAAATAGGAAAGGAAGGAAGAAAAGAAACTAACAATGCTGTGGAAACAAGCAATGGTTTACTTAGACAAAAATGAAATTCCGTGTTATATCTTGAGATCAATACAGACTCGCCTCCCTATCCTACCTGTTCATAGTTGGAGTTGGAGGCTATGCTAGCTAACATTGATTCAACGCTTGCTGCAACCCACGTAATTCTCAGGTACTTCCCTGTGTCTTATATCATTTATGTCTCACATTAACCCTGGAAGCAGATATTATTACCAACCCATTTTATAGAAACTGAAGACTCTAGAAATTAAGGAATTTACCACATGTGTCCATCTGGCTCCAGAGCCAGGGCTCCTAACATCAGTCTACCACTAAAAGCTGGGATCTGCGGGGCATGCCGTGAATGTGTAGGGTTTGTGATTTCTAGAAAGGAGGGCCAGAGCACTGTAGGTCCTGGGATCATTCCTTCATGCCAGCTCACTATGAACACCCCAGAAGCATTTTTCACCCTCTTTGCCCCACGACTGTGCAGTCTTAGAAGTTTCTTGGTGAAGCTTTCCTGTGTCTATGTATTGAATCTTTAAGCAAAACTTGAGTCCATGTCCATTATTTGCACTAACTCAGAAATAACCTTAGAAAAGGATTTTTTTTTAAGATACAGGATCTAACTCTGTCACCTAGGCTGGAGTGCAGTGGCTGATCATAGCCCACTGCAGCCTCAACCTCCTGGGCTCAAGTGATCCTTCCACCTCAGCCTCCCAAGTAGCTGGGACTATAGGCATGTGCCACCACATCTGAATAATTAATTTTTTTTTTTTTGTAGAGACAGGGTCTTACTAGTTTCCCACACTGGTCTCAATCTCCTGGACTCAAGCAATTCTCCTGCCTCAGCCTCTCAAAGTGCACTTCACCCAGCCCAAAGACATTCTTTTATATAAAAACCTAGAGGCAAAATTTTTCCTGATACATCCCTCCCCAACCCTGCACCCCAGTCTAGGGCAGTCCCTGCTACCTATCATGCTCTCTTAGAGCATTCTGAACTCTTCCTTCATAGCATTTATTGTGGTTGTGGATTATATGTTGATACGACTGTTCGACCAGTATCTATCTGCCTCACCAGGTTGCAAAACCTCATCAGGGCAGTGACTGAGTATGTGTCACCCTGTGCAACATTCCCAGAACCTAATGTCATGCCTGAATGGAACAAGCACCCAGATATGCACTAGAGGGATGAAGGATGCTACTGGTGGCCCTATCTGGTTCTGAGAAAATGCTGCCGCAAGCTACAAGAAAAATCTGCCTCTCTGAAGCCTTTAAAGACTCATTTTCAAAATGAATATTCTTTAATGCACAACTTCAATTATTTCTGAAATGAGAGTAATCACTGGCTTTTGTTTGCTTGTTTTGTTGTTTTTTTCTTTTTTTGGAGTGCCGTGGCACGATCTCAGCCGACTGCAACCTCCGCCTCCCTGGTTCAAGTGATTCTCATACTTCAGCCTCCCGAGTAACTGGGATTACAGGTGCCCACCACCACGCCCAGCTAATTTTTGTATTTTTAGTAAAGACAGTGTTTCACCATGTTGGCCAGGCTGGTCTTGAACTCCTGAACTCAAGTGGTTTGCCTATAATAATTTTTAGAATTTACAAAGCTCTTACTGGTCCTGGAGTCAGAGGGTCTTGTTCTCATCCTCTGATTTGGATCACGACTTGCTGCAAGATGATGATCAAATGTTTTAACATCCCAGTGCATCCTTTTCCTCCTGAATAAAGTGGGGCTAATACCATTAAAGCAAAGATGTAAAAATTAAATGAGGTTACCACAAGTGAGCATTCAGAATTGCATCTAGTGCATGGGAATCCCTCATAAGTGTTAGCTATTATTATCAGTGTGCCATCAGCTTGGAACTCATACAGTTCTACAGATTTGTATTGTTCCTGAGAACAGAATATGAGACCAAATTAAGACCAGGTGTAAAGGCATCTGGACCCACCTATATCCCTGCCGTCTAGTTTCTTCAAGAGGCCAGTGAGAACCTCCCTCAACTCCAGCCTGCCAAGTGTCATTTATTTTAATGCACTGTGCCCCTGGTCCTAGGAAACAGAATTCTTCATCTTCCAAGGCTTCTAGATGAGACTGGAGACTCGTGCTTGCTCCACCGCTTGGCTGGATTGGATGCCCTAGAAAGATACTTTTAACTTAGGGAAACTGTGACTCCATGAAAGGGTCAGATCCCACCAACAGTCATTCCAGTTATCCATCAGTTTCTCTTTCCACCCCTCCTCCCCCAGCCCATCCTCCATCTGGGCTCCAGGGCCCTTTCCTTCTGTGTTCCCACAGGACAGTGCCTGCTTTTTCCCACCCTCTAGACTTTGCCCCAGTCACCCCAAACAGCTGAAGGTCCAAATTGAATAATAGAAATTCACTTCTCTAAGCACTTTACAAAAACATGAACTCATAAGGTACAGAAACCCAATGAAGTCGGTGTTGGTGGTGCCTCCATTTTACAGATGGTGAACCCTAGGAGAGAAGGGACGTTGAATAACTTGGCCCAAGGTCACTTGCTGAAAAGTGACAGAGCCAGGATTTGAATCAGCCTCTGGTTCACTGCCTTGGAAGAAAGGAAAGTCTCGCAACTCCCACCCCTGGGGAAACTCTTCTTTACCTTTCTCCACATTATCACTGGTCAGATAAATGAGAGGCAAGAAGAGAAACAAAGATGGATGGATGTATAAACTTAGGCAAGCATGGAGAGCCATGGTGGCATGGCTAAGTGTCAGTTCCGGGCCGAATTGCACCGGTTAGTGTGCTGGATTTTGAATTTACTAATCCTGGAAAATAAAATTAGAATAATAGTAAGTGTACATATCTTACAAGGTCATTTTGAACATGAAGTTAATATTAAGTCCTTAGAACAATGTCTGGCATACAGTAAGTGTTCAATCCTTGTTATCTGCCCCCTTTTGTTCTTTCCTTTTTAGGTTCTCAAAAGGCAGAAGCAGCAATGCTTTCGTAGAAACAACGGTAGATTTGGAATCAGAAGATTGGGTCTGAGTACCATTTAGCTTTTCTTCCTGTAGGATCACCAGTAAAGCATTTTTCCTCTATGAGGCCTTGCTGTTTTCATCCCTAAAATTCAGAAGAAAATATTTTTACTCACTGGGATGGTGGCCTATGAAAGAGCTTTGTAAATTCTAAATCTAAAACACTGTGCAAACTGTGACCAAAGGATTATCCCATTTTGTGATTTAGACCTTCTCCTGGAGTAGGTAGAAAGTTGCCTTTCAGAAGGTCTTCAGACTGAAAATACCTTCATCTTTCAGAATTCCACCACTGAGAGCCATTGTTGGAGTCTTCCAGACTTTGAAGGTCTCAGGAAGTAGAGAGCCCAGTGTGTCTGCGCAGAGAGAAGGGAGTCTCAGGAGTATCACTGCCTCGTGAAGGAGTTGAAAGGCTGTCACGGGGTGGTCTGGTCGAACTTCTGAGTGATCAACAGGTAAGAACTGGGTCTCCAAGTGGAAGTGTCAGGGCCGATTTAGTGTGAAGAAGGAAAAGCGTTCTTTTGATTATAGCCCTCGGAAAGTGGAAAGGGCTGCTTGATAGTGAGTGCCTGCCATTGGAGGCGTTCGAAGAGAGATCTGAGAACACTCCATGGGAGTGCGGTAGAAGAAATGTAATGAGGCAGGTAGTGATGAAACTAGTTGATCTGGGCCTAGGACTATCCAATTCATCCTAAAATGGCAGCATGCTGTGAGGGAGGAGAAGGCCTGTGAGGGAGGGGAGGGCGGGTCATTCAGAGAGGCAGGAAGAAAGCAAAGGGGGAAGCCTGATGGGAACCCAGGCCCTGCTCAGCAGAATTCACTCTTTTCCCAAAGTAGTTCCTGTCTCTTCGGCCACTTTAGGCCCTAGAGCCTAGAACTGTACACAGTATACTCATTCATTCAATGAATTCAGCAAACATTTACTGGCCTGAGAGTCACTTCCCGCAGTGAACCCAGCGTGGGATTGCCTGCCCCGGTGAGCCTCCTGCCTGGTAGCCAGCAGAGGGCAGGAGAGCCGTGCAGATGCCAAACCCTGCTCAGCCTGCTAGCCAACTGAGCTCCGCTGGGGAAACTGGGTCACTCAGTCCTGCCAAGCTGCAAACATTCTGAGGGGTGTGGGCATGTTCGGCCTCTCCAGCAAGAGCTATGAGGCCCCAGATGTCATCTGGCAAGACTATCTGAGACCTCAGACCTCTGGACTGGCAAAGTCACTCCCTCCTGCATGGGGAAAGAAGGAGGGATGAGGCTGAGTGTTAGCATGCAATGGCTCAGGGAGAAGGCTGGAGGGATCTCTTCCCAGCAAAGTGTTTCAAGTAGCAGAGACAGCCGAGTCTACGTGTTAGAGAGGAGCCATGGGAGCCCAGGCCTGCCATGGTGGATGGATGGGGCCGTTTGCTTCAAAGAATGCCTAGACTTCACTAAAGGAGCTTGAGGCTCTCCTTAGCCTGGGCTGAAACCCCCATTTGGAGTTGGATAAAAGGCTAACTTGCTGGCTATAAATGGGTGAATGCCAGATCTGATATCTGAGTGGTTAGGAGGCAGGTTTGGAGTCAGATTTGCCTTTGTGTCCTGGTTTTGCCACCTATATGTCACAGGACCTTGGGTAAGTCACTTCAGACTTGCTTTCCTTTTTTATAAACTGGTGGTGCCACTGTGAGCAGTAAGTGGAAGAATGAAGCGAGTGTTCAGAGTGTAGTTCTTTCTCCTCCCCAGCTCTCTCCCCTCCTGGTCGGGGGACTGCGTGCCTGGGATAATGGCTGAAGTGGGTGTCTTTCTGAGAATGGAAGTGAGGAGTGGATGCCCACTGTGCTGTCAGTTCGGGGACTCGTTCTGAGGGAATGCGGTTCTGGGTGAAGCATGTGGGGCCACCTCTCCCCAGGCTTCTCTGGACCCCGTAGAGTCCTGCTGCAGAAAGATGTGAAGTGTGTGAAGGCTCGAGTAACCTCTTGAAGTCTTTGAGGGTTGAGGAATCAGGGAGGTGAAACAGGCCTGGAATGGGAGGAAACTGGAGGATGGAATGGGAAGAAGCCATTCCCCTAACTCTCGTTCCCCTTATGGACTCTGATGGGTAGAAAGGCCACTTGAACCTGCAATCAAGGGCCAGTTTATGTACTCTCAAAATGTATTTTCTCAACTAATCTAAGACCTTAAAGCAAGGACCTTGTTGCCCATTCCTCTCCAGCAGAGGGATGGTGGGCGCTGAGGCTGCTGTATAAATACTTGTTGGCTATTGCTGAGGAAGGCATCTTGGACAGCTCATCTGACTTCCCAGTTGTATTGGTTAAAAAATAAGTAGAACTGAGGCTCAGATAACAGTGGCACCAGGAGAAGGAAAGTTCCTGTCATTTACAATTGCTGCTAGAATCCTCATCTGTGACCATCTAGAGAAAGTGGCTGGATCCCTATGGTGAGCTGCTCAAATCTTGGAGTCTCTCTGCCTCCTTGGGGATTTCTCTTTGTCTACGTCCTACTAAACTAGTCACTGCTTGTTACCCAACCCCAGGTAGGAGACAGACTGAGTTTTCCTCGCTCCAGCCTAACCTCTAGGAGGAGCAGCAAATGCTTCTCTGGGTGAGGGGTAATTCAGCAGGTGTGTAGTGTTGGCAGCGTAATGTGATACAGCCAGTGGCCTGCACTGCAGTTCCAGCACCACCGTGTACTAGCTGTGGGACTTCAGGCAAGATACTTGATATCTCCAAGTCTCCGTGTCCCTATCTATAAAACAGGGACAGTAACAGTATTTCTCTTATATCCACTGCTCTTTCCAGTCCCTCTTAATCCAAAATTGGAAGCATGAATAAATTAAACAGGCCGAGCACAGTGGCTCATGCCTGTAATCCCAGCACTTTGGGAGGCCAAGGCAGGCGGATCACGAGGTCAAGAGATAGAGACCATCCTGTTCAACATGTCGAAACTCCATCTCTATTAAAAATACAACATGGCGAAATGCCATCTCTACTAAAAATACAGAAATTAGCTGGGCATGGTGGCATGCGCCTTTAGTCCCAGCTACTCAGGAGGCTGAGGCAGGAGAATCATTTGAACCAGGGAGGCAGAGGTTGTAGTGAGCAGAGGTGTGCCACCGCACTCCAGCCTGGCCACAGAGGGAGACTCCGTCTCAAAAAAATAAATAAATAGATAAACAGCCATCTTATTCCCTGGGAAAGCCAAAGAGCAACTCAAAAGGAAAGAAGTGGAAGCTGGACTTTGGAATCTTCTAGTCCAGGAACTAGGAGCTGTTGGGTGGTGTAAAGAGCCCAGGGCTGGGAAAAAGGGCCATGGCCTAGCACATCTCTGCTCCCAGATTGCTGCCTTATTCGCATTGCCGAGCCTCTTTGAGCCTTAATATCCTCCTCTGGACAATGACAAGGTTGAGCTTGCTGACTTTGGAGGTCCCTGTAGCCCTGCCCCTACTGAGATTCTCTGCCATAGAGCTGGGCCCTCGTTCTTTGGGATTCAGCCCAGGCCTCACACAGCCACGGTGGCTGAAGAGGCAGCACTTTGCTGAGCTCTGGCCCACTTCCCAGAGAAGGTCACTCGGCCCCAGGGAAGCCCCTGGTTTGCTGGTTTGGATGCGGTGAAGGGCCAGGCAACAGGGACCTTAGCCTATTGGCATCTGGTTCCGGCCAAAGCTTTTCAGGGACATGTGAGGGTAAACAGCAGGGTTGGCAGAAGCAGTGAAAACCAGCCTGAAGCTGACATTCTCTGGCCTTGCTTTGAAATCTACAACCTCAGCCACCTTGGAAATGATGAAGCTCTGAAAGGAAACACTGGCCAGCGGCCCAGGGGAAGTTTCCTGCTGAAAGGCCTGCGTGAGGGATGGATTCCACGTGAGGGGGAATATATTGATAGGAGGAGGCTCTGCGAAGGAAAGCAAGCAGGGCAGGAGCAGATACCCCATTGCTGATTCAGTCAATAAGCAGTGATTCCGCGTCTGCTCTGTGCGTGGGTAACAGCTGTGGGGGTGTCATTAAAGGGGTCAGATGGCCTGGCTTGGAGGACTTTCTGAACCGTGAGAACTGGATGTGGTGTGGACCATAAACATGTGGGGTTAGGGAGTTGGAGAAGAAAAAACTCAGTGCCAGAGGGCTTCGAGCGCCCCCTGGAGGTGTCTTGGAGCTGGCTGCTCTCGGCTCTCAGGCAGGGGATTGGGTGGATTTCCTTCCTCAGGCAGTGAACTCTCCCAAATATCTGACTCATTCATTTGACAACTAATGCCCGGTTATAACTGAGTCTGTAAAGTGTACTCCCATGTGTTGATTCATTGGATCTAATGACCACTGTTTGGTCAGTGGAGACTGGTATGATTATGATCATCTGTGTTTAGAGACAGAAAAGCAAGGGCCAGTCAGAAGTGCTTCATGCAGGGTCACCCAGCTTCCAAGGCTTGGGGCTGAGATTTGAGTCCATATCTATCTATCTTTGAATCCTGTGTCTATTACAGCAAGATGCCAACTCCCAGTGTCCTCCTATTACCCTGTAGCAAGGATAGACAACATCCTCCTATCTTTACCACATGCAGATTGGGCAGATTTTTTGTGGAATTGTAGACATTTTCAGGGAAAACCAGATGTTCTGGTTGCCTGTCCCCACTGTGAGCAGAAAAACAGCTCAGTATTCACAGGGTCCCTGGGCGAATGCCCAGCATTGCCTTAAAGTAGTCCACTAGGCTCTCTCCTTCCGCAGGCCCACATCTTGGGGCCTGATGTACTTGGAGGTCCCCCTGGATCTTGATGCCTCCACTTCCACTTGGTCACTCCACTCCAGGACTTTTTGGTGACTCACGCAGAGGGAAAATACATGGCCTTGCAGAGCCAGGCAGAGCCACTGGAGTCCTGATGAAGGCTCTCTTAACCAGATGACCTTGAGCAAATTGCTGAGCCCTCTGGGCCTGGGCTCCCTCATTTGTTAAAATGATGACAACCAACTACACCAAACAAAACTTACAGCTTCATTCTGAGAATTGAATGGATTAACCCATGAGAAGCCACTTCACTCTAAGAAGATATCCAATAAATGCTATTTTTCACTGTAAACTTTGAGGCAAGAAGACAGGTTACAGGACTGATAATCACTGAGCACATAAAACATACCATTTACGATGCTCAGTTCTTTACTCAAAATGTGCTATCTCAGTTAATTCTCCCGACACTCCTCCAATGCAGGTACTATGCCTCCTCCAATTGCAGATTAGAAACCTGAGGCCTCAAGATGTTGGATTCCTTGTCCAACATCAAGGTGATCAGGAATCCGATGCAGAGCTCATCTCAGATGCTCTGCAACAATCCCTGCTTTCCTGTGGTGACTGCAGCATTATTCCTGAAATGTCCTCTTGTTCCATCTTTAGGTTTTTGATTCAAGGAAGCAATAGTCTCCTGTAGGGAGTTTCCCATCTCTTATGGTAGGCCACTCTCTCTCCTAAGTGCTCAGAAACTGTGCTTATGTTTAACCCTTA